CTCTCTCTCTCTCTCTCTCTCTCTCTCTCTCTCTCTCTCTCTCTCTCAAGGATAGGCATATCGGCGATTTTGCCACCTTTTGGAATTACTTCAAAAATAGTTTGAGTAGGGTAGAGCGGGGTCAAAAGTAACGCGGGGCGAAAGTAACAATTCAAATATCTATAGTTATATAGGCATAGATGCAAATGCGTTGGTTAATGGATGAAGCTGAACAAGCTTAACGTGTCTCAAAACGCCTACGACCTGAGTATTGAGTGGACGTGTGCAATAAATAAAATATGTTTTTGAGGCCGTAAAGTAGTTTCTTCCGACAATCTTAAACTTTTAATATAATATATCCACTGCAAGTAAGTACTTTTTCTTTTAGGTTATATTTATATAAGTTTCGTTATTTTTGCTTAGTATAATAATTATTATTCATTTTTGGCATTTTATTATTAAAAATTTTAAGTCAAAGTTCAAAAACATATTTGGGACGTTTGTAACAACTGTGATTCAAACTAATTTTTATTTGTACTAGTCCTTAAAGACATTTTGTGTTCCTATCATTTAAAAATATAAGAACAAAAAATGTTTATAATTAAATGAACAAAGTTAATGTTTTCTATAATTGATATAAAGAAGTTATGTTTGAATAGAGTATTAAGATCTTATTTTATTTTTTTTGTATGTACATGAGAATATGAACATTTTAGTTTGTTTTTGTTAATATAAGAGAAATTATTATTTTTTATTGAATAAACATTTTTTATTTGGATTATTTAAAACTGTTACTATCGATCCCCTCTGTCTCTCTCTCTCTCTCTCTCTCTCTCTCTTTCTCTCTCTCTCTCTTTCTCTCTCTCTCTCTCTCTCTCTCTCTCTCTCTCTCTCTCTCTCTATAGTGTTGCAACCGACCCGGAGTCGGGGGCGATTGTAATATTTTCCCTTGTTTATATTTTTGATTAATAATTTTTATTTGGTTTATCACAAGATTCAAATAGGAGAATTTCCATAAAGTGAAATGATCACATTAACTTAGGGTATCAAGAGTTTTTCTTTTACTGTAATAGTTCTTTCACAATCAAATTCTAAAGTCAAATTGTTACTTTTAACCCCGCTCTACCCTAAGTAAAAGATGTTTAGAGGAAGCAATAAGTGTTTTTCATTTCTCGCTGTGTCTTATCATAGATATTTGTGTTATTTAACACTTCTACGGATGCCCAATCTTTTCCTGTAAGTCTTGTCTAGGCGATTGATTTGTTATACATAGTAAGCATTCTTAAGGAGTTAATATATGTATAAATATGAAGCAAGAGATTAAAAATTTATAACAGAATCAATGTTAAAATCAGAAATAAAAAATATTGTTTTTTAAATTTAGACGAAAATGAATATAATAGGGGTTTTAGAAATAGTTGAATATGAATATGAAGTTGAACGTTCAAAATTTAAAATACCGAATCCGTACGCACAATATAGCAAAAATTTGAACACTAAAATACTAGTAAATTTAACAAAGAAAAGAATTTAAAATAAAAAACTTAGAAAAAAAAATTTAAAATTATATTCTTGCGTTAGAACATTAATTTCAGCGATGGCTCCTGATTTATGCAGTTAGAACTTGTTGCCTCTCAACAACGTTCTGACCAATTTCGACAGCAACTAATATACAAATGAGTAAAACACATGTATCTACTTTCCTTCCGTAAATTTTATTCTAATCTTATGAACAAAACTACGTACGATTAAAAGAAAGGAAAAAAGAAAAAAATATTACTCTCCAAATTTGAACAGCTCTGTCTTGCAAACTATTCGGAATGACGCATGTCTGAGTAAATCTTTTTTTTTAGAATGATTTATATATTAAGACTTCTAAAAAAAATCATTGATCTCTCCTCTTGCGGCATTTTGTTTTACTCATTTGTATATCTGCTTATATTTCTGACAAAAAATGCATTTGCTTTATATTTATTTTTTGGGAGGGGGGAAAAAGAAGGTAAAAATTCTTAATATAATTTGTTCTTTACAATTTGTTCTTCCAGCTCCCTGGAATCCATATTGGGCACATTTAAAAGAGGCGTGGGCCTTGAGAAATAACAAAAATCTTCTGTTCATGTTTTACGAGGAGATGACACACGTAAGTATTTTATTTTTGTTCTCAATGTACCAAATATACATTTTTAACACATATTCAATATAATATTTTATGAAATAATCTCTTTATTTCAATTTTTTTTTAAAAGTGATACGTTGTATGAAATAAACACTTATATTTTTCTTTCTTTATTCTTTCTTATCTTAACCATTTAGTGCATACAATGTTAAAAAAATGTTTTATGATATACTCTAACATATTTTGAATAATGAAAATAATATGATTATAATTCATCTTTTTACTTCAAATATTTAAATTCCAAACTGAACTCATATATATTAATTAAATAATAACTTTTTTCTTAAATAATTAACATCTTGTTGCTTGCTTTTTTTACTTTTATGTGAGAATGTAGAGAAAATTGAGTTAAACGTTTTCTAGGATTTTCCGAAAGCAATTAAGAAGGTAACGAAATTTTTGAACAAGACATACACAGACGAAGAAGTTAGCAAGGTTGTGGATTATCTGGACATTAAGAATTTCCGGAACAATCCGATGATCAACTATTCTGAGAGCTTGTGGGATCATCGCCGAGGAAAGTTTCGTGAGAAAAGGAGGCACTAATTGGAAAAATATATTTACTGCGGAAATAAATGCGAAGGCAGACAAATGGATCGAAGAAAATCTCACAGACACCGATTTGTGTTTCCTATTTTTCAACAATAATAACAACAACATAAATAACAACAATTGAAAAGTCGTCAAAAGATCAGAAAGATTTTAATCTCTAAATAAAGTTTAATTATTTAATGAATGTACATATTTTACGCATTTAATAAGAGGAATTTAATCGAAACAATTACACACAGAGGGCTTATAAGAGTTAATAGTTATTGATAATGTCAACCATGTACATACAGAATGCCGATATTACATATTGTTCAAATAAAAGATAAGCAATATAATAAACATTAATGTCATTAATTAAAAACCTTTTTAGCAAAATATAATCGTCAAATATATCATTTAGAATATTTAGATAAAGCTATAATTTTCTAATAGGCTACGAAAACACATCACAATAAGAGTGATAAATATTTCATATTTATTAAATATCTACAACATAAAAAAATGCTTGAATAACTTACTTCGTTCTTTTTTTGTTTATTATTTACGCCAGGTTTTTATGCTTTATTATGGTCTGAAGTTCGTCTTAGTGCCCGTCTACAATAGGTGTTTTAAGTCCTAAAAGCCTTAAAAAATTGTTCAATCAAAGTTGATTTTGAGAAGAATAATTGACTGTGATTGGTCAATTTCTTAAGGTTTAGGGCTTAAAACACCTATTGTAGACGGGCACTTATGCGACTTAGAATTTGCGTGAAATCACAATAAAATTGTGTGTGTATATAATTTAATGTATATATAAATACAAAATTATTTTTTCAAGAAGATAAAAAAATTACGCCAAGTAGGTACACGAGCTCCTTGGCCGGTATTCATAGTCTGATCTTATTTCAAGATCGTCTCAAGTAATATTTTAAGTTGCTAATACGGTCATTTGATTGGCTGGACGAAGTCTTAAGACTGCCTTTGACCAGATTTAAGACAATCTTAAATATAAAATCCGATTATGAATACTCGCCCGTGTATCTCTAATTATTTTCTGTGCAAAGGCCTATTTTATTATCCTACAAAAAACGAACTTTACAAAGGCGAAAAAAATTTAACAGAAAAGTATATATTTGTTCCGCCAATAGTGATTAACAAGAAAAACTCTATTTTTAATCGACAATGTTTGGCAATATCATAACGGTTCGACCATTGGTTTTGGTCGGATTAATCGTCACGTTTCGACCATGGGATTTGGTCTTTTTCTAGCCCTTCGTCCCCCTAGGTGGGTCGTTTTCGTCCGGGCGAAAATCAAATGTAGTTGTAACTTTTGCAAACGCGTAGAAATGGCGCCACTGCGCATCTGTAAAAAAAGTTATGCTCCCCAAGAACCTGCCTACCGAGTTTTAAGGCGCCAGACCCCCTCCAGCCGTCACAGGAGACACGTAATTCTTGAAAAAACGAGGTTGGCGGCGAACACTTAAGCACTTCATTTCAAAATAATTGCATGCAATATTTTTTTATGAAAGGTACGTTTTTCCTTTTCAATTTCTTTTTTTATTCATTTCGATATCTTTATTTGTCTTAAAGTTATGATTTTTTTAGTAAAAGATGATTTTACAAGTTGTAGTTGTAATTGCTCCATTTTTTAAATACAAATTATGTGAAAAAATTAAATTGTTTATAATTTTATGATTGATACTTCAAATTGAAGGTTTGAATTATCTCCATGAATTTTTTCAAATTTTTTGTAACACTTTAACACTTAAAAAAAACGTCAAGACGAAAACGACCCACCTATGCGGCGTAAAGGTGCCAAAAAAACCTAGTGGGAAATATGAAAAATATAACCTCGCCTGTGCCAGACTAGAGTCAAGCTCAACAGGGTCTTCTTTCCCCGCTAATTTTTCCAAGCCCGTTCCCTTGACAGTGGTTTATCTAGGGTCCCTTGACCCTAGATAGTAGACAGACGCCTTAGGATTTTACGATTCTCGTGGCCGGCGACGCTAGCTCGAACAAAAAAGAGATTGCAGATGCATGTCTGCGCTTTTCGGCCGCTCGAAGCTGGCCGAACGCCGAGCACACAGCCGCTGCGCAGTCAGGTGGTGGAGGGTCCCAGCCAGTGTCAACGAAATAACAGCACTGTGTAGACCTACTATTGCCTTGCTGATAAACAGTAAGTAGTATGAAAATCGATAGAAATTAGTTTTTCTGATTAATTTTTTTTTTCAGTTCCAAGTTAAATTTCCGGTAGATAATTAATTCTTATATTCACTGTGTGACCTTTTGTGAGACTAATTGTTAGATCGGTACAACCTATATCAGAAAATGAGATAAAAGATACATTAAATAAATAAAAAAATATATTTTGAAAAATTTTAGTCATTTAAAAGTGTAAGCGTAAGTGTAGCGAACGTAAGCAATTTAAATTTTTCAATTATTTTTCTTTGGTGCAACGTGTGTATGTATGCCGTATGTTCTTCTACCGTGTGAAACACATTACCACGTGGTGGAACATGTTGTAACGTGTATTGAAAAATGATAAAAGATACATTGAGTAAGTTAAAAAATACATTTCGGAAAATCTTAAACCCATTTTACAATAACTGTAAGAGTATGCGATAAAACGTAATCGGTAAAAGTTGACCAACTACAATCGATTATTCTTGGATTGTAAAAATCTTATTAGTCAATAGCTTACTCCCGGGAAACACATACACGTTTTAGAAATATTTTATAAGCGTTTTTCCGAAACCTTCTATAACCAATTTCTAGAAACGTTTCTCATGAGTAAAAATGTCCATTCGAAAAACGTTCGATGGAACGTTTCTTTTCCGATAAAATAACGTTT